GGTAGTGCTCGGGCAGCCCTTTCCGCGTGGCTGGGAGTGGGAGGGGGCGGAGTTAGGGCAGGGAAGGGGTGGAGTTGGGGCGGGGCTGGGGGTGGGAAAATGGGCAGGGCCAGGGCCCGTGGAGGGTCCTCTTTTTTTATTTGTTAGATATGGTAACCCTCCCCTCCCCCCACCATGACATCAAGTTTGAGCCAATTTAGTGAAGGGCCAGAACTTAAAGGGTTGAGAGCCTGACTCACAAGGGCCAATAAACACTTCAACCCACATTCATTCCTGCTGTGCTTAGCCTGTCAGCTCCCTGGAGCAGGGACTTCTCTATGTTCATGGGTCATAGTTCTGCAAGGGCACCTGCACCGGTGCTGCACCTTATGTCGCTCCAAACACGTTGGTGACTGGAGTTCATCAGGACTGAACTTGCCCCCGCCAGAAGCAGTTCCTGTCCCCTCTCACCAAAAGCCCCTTCAATCTCATGTCCCTTCTCCCGCCCCTCACGTGTCAGCTGCCTCTCAGGCCGGGCAGCCCTTGTACAAACTAGTCTCTGTCACGTTGAAACAAAGAAGCATGGGCTGACGTGCAACCCCGTGAGGAGTACCTGAAGCCTACAATAGCAGAGAACTGCTATAATGCAAAGCAAAATGACAGTCGCTAATATTCCACCTGTGATGACCACGGTCCCGGCTGTCATTCGACCTCTTCTCCATTAACAACCTGGAAGACAGAACAGGCGTTCAAACACAGGGTAAATGGGCAGTAGCCTCATACAAATTTCTACTGCAGCCCAGCAAAAAACAGGGGGAGAGGGGCAGCTCAGCACCTACCAGCACTCACTGTGCCCCAGGGCATGCAGGGGGCTGACCCCGACGGAAAACCCAGCTCTGGTGGGTTATGCCCTTCTTTGGGGCAGGAGCCCAGCATTCAGCACCACCCCACCCCGTGCTAGCGCGCCAGTGGGGCAAGCGGAGCGGTGGCCATTCACCCCTCGAGCGTTGCCCAGTCTGCCCATCCTGAGACTGCTTAATACTGAATTTGCTGGTGGGGTTTTTTTTTAACCATGTTGATGCAGGGCCACTAGGGACTGCAGCAAACAGGAATGGTGACAGCTAGAACTTCCTGGAGTAGGCTCCGCCATGGCTGTGACTTAAGGGCCAAGGCAAGGCTCACTTGTGGGAAGGGGGAATGGGCTCTGTTCCCCTGACTGACAGGCCAGAGGCAAGCCCCTTGAACTATGGCTCATGTGACCTCTGGCTTTGTGAGCCAGGTGGTGTGTGGGTGGCCATGGAGCAGGGCTGTGCTTTTGGCCAAGGTCCCATGGGGAGGGGCTACAGGGGACCCACGTCTTCTGTGCCTGTGGCCCCTGATTACCTTAACCCAGCCTGGTGTAACGGGATGAAGCACCTAGATTTCCTGCAATAACAAAGTCAAATGCCAGCAGAGAGAACGGCGCCATCTGAAGCCTCTAGACCAAGTTCTGTACAGTTTCCTGTCTTTGACACAAGCCCGTCAAGCCATTGACCCTGCGTGCGCTAACTGGCACGGGATTGCCAGCATGTCCGTGATGAGTCTTCCACTTTGCCCACTTTGGTGCAGCCAGCTGGTTTTCTGTCTGGTGCCTGCTGTCCATGCGCGCGGTAGGAAGGCACACTCACAAAGAAGTGCCTGGCCCACTGCTTATTTGGGTTCTGGCTGACAGTACACACACCAGGCTTCATCCTGCTGTCCCCACACAGCTCGGTAGAGCAAAGCCTGACGTCTTTCCTCCAGCAAAACGCCCAGCTAAGTTAATGGGACTGCGAGCTTTGGCCACTTGACTTCTCTGGGGTTGGTGGGTGAGCCTCAGGATCAGGCCCATTATCAGGGTTGCGGGGCAGGCCTGCAGGCTGCCTTTCCTGAAGCCAAACAAAGGCCTGTAAAATCCATCTGGAACCAATCTGTGCATATCTACTTGTTTCACTGTGATGTTGGCTTGGCAGCAGCTACTAGGCTGAACATGATGGAGCTGGTATCACCCATCACCCTGAGTCCCGCCAAGTGCCACCTGGCAGCTGTATGAAGGGAGGATGGAAAAAGTAACCACACAGTAGATGTAAGATTTAATGTGTGTCCCGGCAGCCAACAGGTAGGAAAAAAAAATGTCTATGACTTGGAGTCTAGGGAAAATTTTAATGATTCTCTGGGCTGGTTAACTCCATATAAAAAAATCATATAATGAGACGAGCGAAATTCTCTGCTCAGGGATGCCATTGATGGTTGTGCAGGTAAGAGAATTTGTCGCAGTGTCTTACAATATAAAACTCACTAGAAACACATTGGAAGCGTCCCGTTCATGTGGTTCTGCTGAACAAAATGCAGGGCCTTTGTATCTGCCTCACTACGGTTCAGCAGCGTATGCAACTCATTTCCAAAGGAAGCAAAAAATATATTTCAGGTTCACGATGATTTGGTCCAGGCTACTGTATTTTAATTGTCCCCTAAGTCTAATGTGTTTTAAAAGTGGCCCCTCATGCATTATGGCTCAAAAAAGGAGTTGGCTCTCTGTTAATTTCAAAGGCCTACTCAAGTGCGTAAGGGTGCAGCAATGTAACAGTTGCCCAGTCTAGCCTGATAACACTGGCGAGTACATTGTTGATCGTTACACGGAGGCGATGTCTTTGGGGTGGGGGTCATGGGCCCCTCCAGATTTGCTGCTGGGCTTGTACTGAGCATGCTCACACAGACTGAGCACGCTCAGTAACGCTGCTGAAGCTGGCTGCCCTCCCCCACTATCGGCAGGCACGGGGCGTCTCTGCCTTTACAGATAAGCTGGTGTATTAATAAAACAAAATAATGATTATGCATCCAAACCTTGATCACTTGCACTAATAACTGGGGGCGCCATTGCAAATTATGGAGCTTTGAGAAACCCCAAGAAAGACTAACAAACCACCGCTGAACCTTGCAATAAAGCATCGCCTAGCAGACAAGACAAAACGGGAGACTCATAAGCATCTTGAGTGTCACCCAGAAAAATGCCAAAGGCAGTTGTGCCCTGATTCAGGATCCGATGCTGCAAACTCTTACCCACGAGTAGCGCTAGTGACGTCAGTGGCACTACTCACTGACTAAGGGTTACAGGACTGGGTTGTTTCACTATGGAAAGTAAAACACCCTGGCAGGAAAGTAAGTGAAGCCGATGCAGGGAATCGTGAAGAGCATGAGACAGTTAACGTGTCCATGGGTTGGCCTGGTGGCCCAGGGGACAAGGCAACCACATGGCCTTCATTTATGGAGGCAAATGAATGGCAACTGCAAGAGGGTAGACAACGAATGGCTGGCTTGCCAGCTGTTACAGGTCATAGCTAGGCTGAGCCATGCATGTCCGCTGAGACCATCACAACCTCTTCCCCATATGGTGGAGCAGCTGAGTGGGCAATGGTGATGACGAACCATAGTTGCATAATGTATACTATGATTATATTTATATTCTACAAAAGAGGGCTATACTTTTTAGAATCACCCTTGGCCAAACCCTCAAAGAAAGGCCCTGATCCTACAGGGGGCGGCACACTTTCAAATATCAGTGAGGGCTATTCAGCATCCCAGAAGACGGGACCCCTGGGAAGGAAAAAAAACCTTCTGCCTTGTAAATTAGACCAATGTGGTCTCAGCAGGACATCATAGACAATTCACAGTCTGTCCTGTGTACCCATCACAATGACAGCAATATTACCTAGCGTGACGGGCTCTCGCTTGCGCTAAGATTTATAGCTTCAATGTTAGAGAGAGTGGAAGAGCTTTATACAGTAAAGAATTTGAATTGAGTCAGTTTGCCTCTGAGCCTGTGATCTATTTTCCATATGAAAATAATGTGGACTTTAATTTGGAATAACTGGAACTACTATGATGCACTCGGGAATAGCCCAGTTCATTTGCAGAGCTTCAGTTTGCAAAAATAGATGCATTAAATTATGTAACTCATGCCTTTGTATGAGCAATGCATAAATGTGTGTGCATGCACGCCCACGTGCTGTTCATATCCAATTTTAACCTTTGTATGAGTAGAGGGCACACACACACACAATGCCAGAGAGTCCAGATTCCAATACCATGTTGTTTCAGGCCTGGGGATGGATTCAAGCACCCGTTCTAGGGAGTGGCTTTGCCTCAAGAAATGATGCCAAGACTTGGTGTCCCAGGCTGGGGGTGGGGAGAGGCAAGCTGCCCCCCTGGCCATTTCCTAGTTTGAGCTGGTGAAAATGAACATATTGTTCAAAGCGCTTTCGAACCATTTTTGCCAAGCCAGGCCTTGATGGCATGGCTATGATGGATTGCATCTTGAATAATGGAAAGACTGTAATTTAGCCTGGGCCTGGCACCTGCCTGCATATTTGCTTGACATCAGTATATCACCAATTTCCTTTGACCACTCTTTTTTCCCTCACTCGTTGGTGTGTGGTTGTTTTTTTCCAAAAAGTTTCCACACAAATCCTTTCTAATGACGATTTGCTCTCTCTCTCTTGCTCTCTCTCGCTGGGTGAAGGTTGAGTATCTGCGTCCTGCAATGGTTTAGGCTGGCATACTGAGAAGGTAAAATACTGAGCAAGCTACTGAGCTGGACTGAGACTGGACTAAAGCAGCGGCTACTTTAGCTCTAAGCTATCAGGTCCTGCTTTATACACATATCACTACCTTGTGGGTCCAGCACCAGGTGAGAGCAGGTCAGGAACACCCATTTCTTCCACTAGGCTACTCACTAGCCTCCCACAAAAGTGTCCGTTGTAAGATGACTTGGAAACTGGGGTGAGCAGAATGGTCACGGAACAGGGGCTCAGCGCTTCCTCTGTTTGGCTGATGAGGAACGCTGCGCCTGATGCCATCCTGCCAGTTGAATCCGGTTCCCTTCCTCTCTCTCAAAGCAACAGGGAGAGAGAGAGAAAACTCCAGGGACAAGAAATGCAACATGACTGTTCTGTTCCGTGACAGCCTAGGTGGGTGCGGGAATATCTTTTACAGGGCCATCTTCTGGGGGTGGAAGGTGCAGGCTTCTGAGCTACACAGAGCTCTTCTTCAGGTCTGGGGAAGGAAATCAGAGTGTCTGAGGTCTGTTACATTACAGTCACCAGGGCCCCTCCTGTCCCCACTGATGTCAATGAATCATAGAATCATAGAATATCAGGGTTGGAAGGAACCTCAGGAGATCATCTAGTCCAATCCCCTGCTCAAAGCAGGACCAATCCCCAACTAATCCCCTATGCATGCATGGCTGGATGCATAGGCGCTGACGCTGTGCATGGCTGGATGCATAGGTGCCGACACGATCCACCCAGTGGGACATCTTTGCATCATTGACTTTAACGGGAGTTGGACTGGACTTTACCTATTAGAAACTGTATTAAGTGCTTACACATGGGAGCATGTGTCTTGACCTATAGGCGATGGTGGACGCCCATGGAAAAAAAGAGGGGTTACTCAGCACCCACCTGCCACAGTGGTGCTGGGGCCCCAGGACTGGCTGCTGATCAGTGAGCAGCTGGTGGGAGGCACTCGGGGGAGAGGGTTTGCAGAGGTGTGAGCGGCAGGCGGGTGGGGGGGGGCTCAGGCGAGGGGGCAGAGTGGGTGGAAAGAGGCAGAGTGAGGGCGGAGCATCAGGGCAGAGCAGGGATGGAGCACCCAGCGGGAAAAGGAAAAGTCAGCGCCTGTGGTTGGATGTGGCCCTTAGCTTATAACACTGG